AAAAAAAAAAAAAAAAAACTGAACAGATGCTGAATATCCTACTGTGATTCTATTTCCCCAAATTATTCAGAAGTTTGTACAAATTCAGACGACAAACCCTAAAAATACTCCAAGCCCAAACACGAGTAAGGTCCTAATACCACACTGGATCTACCCAAAAACGAAGCACACCCCAGCTCAAACTCCGATTTCAAAGTAAACATACACACAATCACAGACAAAATTCCCACCTGAACCATAGACCAAGCCAAATTGAGAAGAGCCGAGACCCACAAGAGCGCGTAGTACGCGATCATCACATAAGACTTCCTGTGCCTGAGCTTCTTCATATTGCGCCTTGCTTGAAACCCAAGGTACAACACCAGCAGAACCGAAGGTACAACCAGGGCCGCCTCGCGCCATAAGCTGTTGCACCCTGAACTTTCGGGGGCGTGCCATTGCGAAATCTCCTCGATTTCACTACGAATAGGGGGAACCGCCGTCTGCTGCGCCGAAGCAGTCGAAAGGGCCAAATTAGGGTTTGACATTCACGCGATTACAGTCAATTTTGAGGATTGAGAATCATACAATCGAAATTCGAAATGGTAAAGATCATCCAATGAAACTCGGTAGAGAGAGGGAGCTTCAAGGAATGTGGTGTTTTTGGTGATGATTTTTTTTTGATCGGTAAATAAATTTTATAGATCAAAATTGATTTTACATCGACCGTCTCGCAGCACACAAGAGCAAAGTGGGGTAACCAAAATTCGGTCCCTCACTTGCTAATCAAAATGATGAGCGGCAAACCACAGCTCGGTTGCTCAACTCAAAGTAAAGTGGCACCGTAAATCAAATTGTCATGGGACGCGGAAGCCATTTCCGAGGGATTTTCTCTCCATGTCGGCAAGCACATTGGGGTACAAAGCGAAAATACTCCGGTAGACGTGGGTTTGAATTTTTCGGATAATGAGCTCCGGAGATTGTACCTCATTCTCGAAAATCTTCATATTCCGAGCATTCCAAAGGAAGTACACCGTGGATGCGAGCCCCGCTTTTATTGTTTTTGTTCTCTAACCGGAGCCTTGGGATTCTTTCTTAATCCACTTCAATGCACTCTTTAGTGTAGAGAGTTGTCTCATCAATCCTAGCCATTGCCGGATGCCTAGCCAAACTTGAGCCGAAAGGGGGCAAGCGAAAAAGAGATGATCCTTTTACTCGGAAGCTTCCCCACATAAGGCACAAGTAGGGTCTATATCAAGAAAGTCGAGTCTATCTTTGGTCCGGATCCTCCCAAGCGTTGCAAGCCAAAGGATGAAGGCGTGTTTGGGGGTATTGGCGGGCCCCATACCACACCCTTCCAAGGAATGGGGGTACCTTGGGGTCGGAAGAATTCGTATATGCATGAGGGCCCCTTGGAGTGAGATTTGGATTCCCAAAGGTTAAGGGCTGTCTCGGCGGCTTGCGTGCAACCCAATTTTCCCACAATTAGGTTTCAGATGTCATAGAGGTTTTTGAAAAGTGGGGAGTCGTTCTTGTGGATGGTCCATTGCCATATGGATTTTTGCTTTAAGTAAACGTGATGCACCCAACGGTACCACAAGGTGTCTTTCTTGACTTGAATATTCCATAATGATCGTGCTAGCAAGGTTTGGTTCCACGCTTTGAGGTCCCGAAGGCCTAAGCCTTCCTCCGAACGTGGAAGAGTGACGGTGTGCCAAGCCACCGGTGCCATCTTTGAGCCCCAAAGGAAGCGACGACATCGTTGGATGATAAGCAAACGGACGGTCGACGGAAGAGGGAAGATAGACATCCAGCATTCCACCCCTTGGAGGACCGATCTAATGAGCTCCACTCGACCCGCATATGAAAGAGAGAAAACGTTCCATCCATTTATGTATTTCGAGATTTAATTTATGAGTGTGTCAAATTGCCCAACGGTGACTCTTTCCGCCGTGAGTGGATTACCGAGGTACCGGAAAGGCATAGACCCCGGCCGGAGGTTAGTGTCCCGAAAAATCTTAGAATGCTCTAATTGGCCAACCCCCGCCATGTAGATGTTGGATTTTGGAACATTCATTTTGGTGATGATTTTGTTTGGGATTAATTTGCAACACTTTTTTTTTTGTGATAATTTTTGTTAATAATCTCTAATAATAATCATGAAAACTGATAATTAGAAGTTCTAAAATCAACCACATATATAATTTCAGAATGTGTTCATTCTATATATAATATTCTTAATTTTACATATGTGGCATATAAATAGACTTAAGTCCTAAATGACATGGACAAACTCAAGTAAAAAAACACAAAAGCTATTCAATGCAAAAATAAAATACTAGGTCTAGCATACATGCCAACCAATAAAAATGCTCTATTATGTTTCATTTATTTAAAAAAAAATAAATGAGGAATAAATGATGAGTGCTTGAGTTTGTACTTGGGTCCAAAATAGACCCAAGTGTGGAATTTGTCTCTTTTTTTATTGTCATATAAGTTATATCATGTCTACATTTGAGACATTTTTTAATAGACTAAGTCTATTTCCTATTAGGCATATGATATTTTATTAAGAGACTCAATGCATTGTGGGTGCTCTTAAGTGGCAAACCCTCACGTTTCGAAATTCTATTTGGCAAAAAAACATGTTTCAGAGTTAGGCTTTGGTATAAATCAATACTAGTACAATACCCGTATACTACACCGGTACTTGTTAAAAAATATTTTTAAAATTAAATTAATAACAACAATAATTGTTTAAAATTAAATATATGTATTTATTGAGGTTTTCATGAAAACTAATTAGCCGATTTAGAGTTTCCAAAATAAATCAAGGTTAAATTAGTCAATCAATACAATTACCAAAGGTTCCAGTACAACTTAAAGGCTATATTAATCAAACTATTATGAAATTACCAAGTTAATTTTTCAATATTTTTGGAATTTCTGAATCTAAAATTAATAATTTAGAATAATTTTATTTTTTATCCAAATAAAACTACAAAACATGTTTTTTCGCCAAGTAGGACTCTGAATCATGCGAGGCTTCCACTTGGGCTCAATGCATTCTGCAATTATATATAGGAGAATTTTTTTATCTAAGAATAATTAGACTTGGATTTCATTTAGTTTCTATATTATTCACACTAAATTCATGATTGATTTTTTTCCTTATTTACTTCTCCAATTAGTTACTAGAAACTATTTTTCTATTTCATTTTCCTTCATTAGCATACACATAAATGCTATGGAGTCATCGGATGGTTCCCTTTATGGAGTCATCCATAACTTTATATATTGACACGTGTCCAATATGTATTTATTGCAGGACACATGTCAATACATTGTTTGTGGATAATTATGGTTGACTCCATAAGCCGACTCATCCGATGACTCTATAGCAAAATCGATAGCATACAGTACATTTCATTTTCTCGTTTCATTTAAGAATATATTTAACACAAACCAGTATAATATACGGGTGTTGTACTAGTATTGATTTATTTAAATGGCTTATCAATTTTTTTGTACACTTTTGTAATGAGGTATTAAAAGAATTTCCATGTGGTATGATATTCTTTAATATAAATATACATTTCAATAAAAAAAATGTATGATATTTTTAAATATAAATATATATTTTAATTGACAAAAGTGTAAACTTGTATGATACTTTTCAATATAAGTATGATATTTTAATTGAAAACGTGTGATATACTGAATAATAGTTAATTTTTTTTTTTTTCGCAACGATAGGAGATTTTATATCAACTAATGTACAAAGATACAATCCGGGAGCTAAATAGCTCAATGTCACAACTAACAGAGGATCACCCACAGTAGATTGGCTTACACAATGTTACATTACAATTGCCAACATATGTTACCATTTTTTATTATGTCCAATTCACAACACATGATGCTCATTATTCTTATGAAATATAAGTAATTAAAACAACAAAATAGTTAGATAAACACTACTAATTACTTTTATTATTATTATTATTATTATTATTATTATTATTATTATTATTATTATTATGGGAATATTCCAACATGGAATACAAGGAAAACAGCTACGGATCAATAGATAGACAGGCTCACAAGTTCTCAAAAATTCTTAGATAAAAGTACATTACAACAAAGCCTAGGCCTCATAAACATGAGGTGCAAGCCTAGGCCTAGGATGAACCATCAATGGCTCTGCCCTTTGCAACGTTAGCCCGAAAGCCTCCTCCATATTGAGGCCCTTTTCCGACCTCCCGTTCGCAAGCTCAAAGTCGAACGCATGGACCAAAGTTGCCGTCAGCAGTTGGACCATACGTGTGGCCAATCCTATCCCGGCGCAAATCCTACGGCCCGCCCCAAAAGGTATGACTTCAAAGTCATTCCCTCTTACATCGGCATTGGGCCTTTCCCCACCCGCCAAGAATCGGCCTGGTCGAAACTCTAGTGGGTCGACCCACGTGTTCGGATCACGAGCTATGGCCCACACGTTCACTAGGAGGGTTGAGCCCTTGGGGATTAGGTACCCATCGATCTCGCAGTCCTCTTGCGCGATTCTCGGCACCGAGAGTGGTGTGGACGGGTGGAGACGGAAGTTCTCCTTGACGACGGCTTGGAGGAACGTGAGACGAGCGAGGTCCGATTCGGTTACGAGACGATCGAGACCGACTACCGAGTCCAACTCTTGTTGGGCTTGGGCCATGATTTTCGGATTGCGGATGAGCTCGGCTATGGCCCATTCCACCGTGCTCGAGGTTGTGTCGGTCCCTGCCGTAAATAGATTCTACCGAGGGAATTTACGTAAGTTATTATCGTTTTGTTATTGAATCGAACGAAAGTTACCACAACAACATATACGTACATACCAAGAGCAATGCTTTAATCTCGGTGTCCGTAATCTTTCCTCCCTCGCCATCGTCAACGTCCTTCAACGAGATCAACGTGCTCAACAAATCCACGTGTCGTCCCTCTTTACCGTCACACGACCCGACCTTGTGGTCCTCGAGAATCGCGGTCAAGAACGAGTCGAAGCGCGCGTGGAGCTTCTTCATCTTGGCGGTCACGCCTTGCAAGTCGAGTCCCCTTAGGGGCAGGATAAAGTCACCCACGTTGAAAACGCCGGCCAACACCATGAGCTCCACCACCATCGACTTGAACTCGTCGGCCTTGGCATCACCACGGCCAAAACCGTGGTCGACCACCCTCCGACCTATCATCACACGGGCAATGGTGTTTGTGGTGCACACGTTGAGCATGTCGCCTATGGTAGCTGGCGTGGTCCCCACGCTCGCCAGCGCCCGAGCAAGAATCCCCACCTCTTCCTGCAAAATTATAATGATGCAGTTCAGAGTCGCCAGACTCTCTAGAAACTATTTTCGGGATCCCAGATTCTCAGAAACGACTGTTGCTTCTGTCAGTAAGGGTAATTCCAAATGCCTATTATTTCATTTCATACTTCCACATAATGTGGCTATAATTCATTTCATGCGTTAATCACTAAGCTCTCTAGAAAACGGGATCCCAAATTTTCATACACTGTTTCTGTTAGTAAGGTAATTTTGTCATTTCAATGACAAAATTTTACGGTTTTTGTTAGTAAGGGTAATTGTATCGTTTCAATGACATAATTGCACAAAATGCGGCTATATTTCAACTAGCCCGTCTCATTGTTAAGTGTACTAAATGAATACTCATCAATCAATCAATCGAACATCAAACCGACCTGCCGGACGTGCTTGAAGTCATCCAAGGCCTTGGTAGAGAACAAGTGGAGGGCGCAAATCTTGCGGAGCAACCTCCACCGAGGCCCGTACGGAGCAAAAACCAAGTCTTGGTAGTTGTAAGCCATGTGCTCGGCTCCCGAGGTCGGGGGCCTGCTCGAGAAGTTGCTATCGTTCACCTTCAAGAACTGCTCTGCCACACGGGCAGAGGCGGCCACGACGACATGCACGAATCCCATCTTCAAGTGCAGGAGCGGGCCGTGTACCCGGGCCATGGCTGCTATCGACTGGTGAGGCTTAGGGCCCAGTTGCGGGAGGTTGCCGACAACGGGCCACGGCCGAGGCCCGGGAGGCAGTCTCCTCTGGCCCTTGTAGCTTTGGTGCTTTCTCTGGAAGGACCAATGCATGATTGTCAGAACTGATAATATGGTGGTTAATGTAATTATCAAAATAGAAATGGTGTCCATTGCCTTTGGCTGATTAATTGTGATGTGTAGTTATATGAAATATATATGATACATATATATTATGTGTGTGTGTGTGTGTGTGTGTGTGTTGGATGGAGTGTTGAATGGTGGGTGCAAGGGGGTTGAACTAAAGTTAGTTATTATCTAACATTCTTGTTTTCCCTATTTTTTTCTGCTTCATTTTGTTTGAATTTCATATACATTTAAGATGAATTTGTATCTTAAATATTTAATTTGAAATACAAAAAAGGATTTAATTCATAAACATAAGAAAAAAAGGAACAAATTCTATAACATTGTTGGCAAAACTCAAAATACTACATTGTTATTTTCCTTCAAAAGAGAGTAGAACAAAGACAGGTAAACACAAAAGGACTTTAATTTTGCACTATACATGGCATAAACTCAAAAGAAGGGGACAAAGGAAACTATTTTATTCTCACTATTTTTACTCATACATCTCATCATCTTCCATCACTTCAATCTTCATTCTCTTCACAGCCTGAGCAGCATCCGATCGTCCCGGCCCGTTTGGCAGCTGAATCAGAATATCAGATCGCTCGCCGGTTGCAGCATTTACGAGCCCTCCATTCTTCTCCACACGATAATTCAGTTCTTTTCCATCCAAAGAAGCATCTATGTACACGGTTGAGTTCTCGTCAATTTCTTCTCGAATGAGCATTTTAGACAGCTCGGTCACCACTCTCTTCTCCAGCCATCTCCTTATCGGTCTTGCGCCATAAACCTGAAACCCAAAAAATTCATAATCACCAAAATCAGTAACATATATATTTACGCAAAAAAAAAACATTTTTAATCTTGTTAGTTTAACATCATAGTATTTTAGTCCTAATGTTCCGATTGTGATTTAATATTTTGCTGCAATTAGAGGATTGAAATTGCAACAAAATTTAAAATAAAATTCTAGAACTTAAGTTGCTAAAAAAAATCTATAAATTTGAAAATTTGTTGCAATTTTAGGCGGGGAAGAATTACAATCTTGAGACTAAAATTGCTATGACGTTAAACCAGCAAGACTAAAAATACAATTTAGCCCAAAATTAGCTACACTATAACTTCACACTGAAGTATAAGACAACTCAAGTTATTGCCGATTTAATCATAAGCTTACCGGGTCATAGCTTTCGGCCAATATCAAATCGAGTGCACTTTCAGTCACTCCCAAAGCAATACCCCTCTCAGCCAATCGAACAGCGACAGCTTTCAACTGGAGACGGCACACTTTTCGAAGCTGGTCGTGAGATAAAGGATCAAACACCACAATCTCGTCCAAACGGTTGAGCAGCTCGGGTTTGAAATGCTTCCTCACCTGAGCCGAGCCAATCATAATAAGAAAATCTTACTAAAAAAAAAAACCATTTTTACCACTTACAAATATTAGGTAGAAAATTCATTTTAATTAAAAAAAAAAAAGGATTAAAATGTTCCATACCTCTTGCATCACCATCTCACGAGCGCTCTCCATAGTACACTTTCCTATCAATCCCCTCAAGAGATACTCGGCCCCCAGATTTGAGGTCATGATAATAACGGTATTCGTGAAGTTAACTGTTCGACCTTGACCATCGGTCAACCTCCCATCGTCTAAAACTTGCAGCAATGTATTGAAAACCGATTGGTGTGCTTTCTCAACCTCATCGAATAGAACAACACTGTAAGGCCGCCTCCTCACGGCCTCTGTCAATTGCCCACCTTCTTCGTGCCCAACATAACTGTCAAAAGCATTTACAAACATTATTCAAGTCACACTCTATCTAAACCATCATCAACAAATTACGATAGATAAATGGTCAGAGCTACATTCAGTTGTACAATTAGGCAGCCAGTTGTGAGATGGAAAGGGACACTATCTTCCTGCTGGTTTGAAAGAGCCAGTCTTTTGGTAATTAAGGTCAAAATACACTTCAAAATCCAATAGTTAGGGGGGCACAAAATTCGGTTAACCGAGCCGAAACGACCAAAAGTTCGGTTACCGATTATTTGGTTCGATTTTCGGTTTATATTTTCTTAAAATTTCGATTTCCAATTCGGTTCGGTTTGGATAACAGCAATTGGTTCCAAAAACCAATTTATACATATATATATATACACAAATATATACATATTTATACATATAATTATAAAAGCATTAATTTGATTTAATGAATTATGATTTTCGAGCTTCAATAACCACTGAAATAGGGGCTCAAACATTAATTTGCACTCAAAATTAACTTCGTCATAGTCTGGTTTGAGTCCTGAATATGGAATTTATTGAGAATCAATTTTTTTGGTTCGGATAAAAATTCAAATTTTTTGGTTTGGATAAAAAATCAAATTTTTTGTTCGGTTAAGAATTCAAAGTTTATCGAGAAGATTGATTATTTATTGCGATTAATCGATAACCGAACCGAGCCGAACCGATAGCTGAATTTTCAGTTTGGCTTTCAAATTCTTATAATGGATAAACCGAATTATTTGTTAACTGAATATTCGGTTTGGTTTCGACCGAATGAGCAGCCATAATAAAAATGACCTAGAAAACTTACCCAGGTGGAGCTCCAATCAATCGAGCCACCGAGTGTTGCTCCATGTACTCCCCCATATCAATCCTCACCATAAGATTATCGTTATCAAAGAGCTGCTCAGCCAGAGCCTTTGCAAGCTCAGTCTTCCCAACTCCAGTCGGACCCAAGAACAGAAACGAGCCCGTTGGCTGCTCCGGCCTTCCAAGCCCGGCCCGTGATCTCAAAACAGCCTCGGCCACTGCAGTCACTGCCTGATCCTGGCCCACGACCCTCTGATGCAGCCTTTCCGCCATGCCGATCAATCTCTCCTTTTCATTCTGGCCGAGACGGGTCACGGGTATACCCGTCCAAAGGCTCACAACTTCAGCAATCTGATCGGGCCCAACAGTCTCCGTAAGCATCCCGTTTTCATTTCCACCAGCTTCAAGCTTGGCAATTGCAGCCTCGACTTCTTGAATAGCTCCATATCTCAAATCGGCAACTCGAGCAAGATCGCACCTCCTTTCAGCTTCTTGTATGGCGTACAAAAGCTCGTCTCGCTTCTGTTTCAGCCTCCTGAGCTCGTCTATCCTTTCCTTTTCTTTCCTGTATCTCATCATCAGTGGCTGCAGTTTATCTCTCAGATCGTCTAGTTCTTTCCGAACCTGAAGTTTGAAGTTTCCAAATCGGAAAGTTGTCAGGGCATAGCGAATTAAATGCAGCAAAAAACAAGTATGGTAAAAAAGCTACTTACTTCAACTAGGCGAGCTTTACTGGCCTTATCTTTCTCCTTGTCGAGAGCATGCAGCTCAACCTCCAACTGAATCCTCTTCCTCTCAAGATTATCGATCTCCTCGGGTTGACTGTCCAGCTGGACTCTCACATTCGCACACGCCTCGTCAACTAAGTCAATCGCCTTGTCCGGAAGATGTCTCCCTACAGTCATAAAGTTCAAAATCATCAATCAGATCAAGAAAAACCAACACAATAAATTCAAAAAATATAAAAAATTCTGCAAACACGAACACACACCTGTAATGTACCGAGAAGAAAGCTGAGCTGCAACCACGAGCGCACGATCTTGAATCTTCACACCGTGGTGACCTTCATATTTCTCCTTCAAACCCCTCAATATACTAATCGTATCAGGCACACTCGGCTCAGCCACATAAACCTGCTGAAAACGCCTCTCGAAAGCCGCATCTTTCTCCACATACTTCCTATACTCCTCCAAAGTTGTAGCCCCAATACACCTCAGCTGACCCCTCGCGAGCATCGGCTTGAAAAGGTTAGCCGCATCCATAGACCCTTCAGTCCTCCCGGCCCCCAACACCAAATGAATCTCATCGATAAACAATATCACTTTCCCCTCAGCTTCC